CACTGAAAAATCTTAGTGTACCTTCTTATGAAGTTACTTTTTAAAGGAATTATTACAAGTATTAATGAAGAGCTGCTAAGATATCACTTAACTGCTTCTTTACAAATACAGCTACATTACTTTTAATATTCTGCTTTTCAGTGTGGATATGAAAAGCACATTTAACAGTAATTCCCAGTTGTCATGCTTGCTTTTTTACAAATGGGTGCCTGCAAAAACAGGCCCTGTTTACTGCTGCTGAATAATAATTTCTGGATTTCATCTTGGCAGTGAATGTTGGGGAGATATCCTTTAAGCCACTGAATTGGAGGTTAGGACATTCATTTCAGTGTCAGCTGACATCCCAAGCTGGATCACAAATGAAAAGCAGCAGAGTTCAATTGCAGTGTTTAACAATAAAGCAGGAAACTCTAATTGCCAAACTACTGGCAGCTGAAAGTTGAATTTACCGTAATGCTAACTGAGCAGATCTGACTGTTGATACAGCCTTACAAATATCCACTCTTTCTTAAAGCAAGGAGAAGGCTTTTTGACTTTAAGAAGCTACTGTGCACTGATGCATAGAATGACTAGGATTATGCACAGCAACATCACTGTAGGGTCTAAAATACTTCTTAAGTTACAATATTAAAAAAAATGCTATGACTTTTTAATGGACTCCCTTAAAATTTGTTTGCTGCATAGTACAAGGACAATTTAATCCATCTAAGAATATGCTCTTTCTCTTCCTCTGAAGTTTATACAAAATCTCTTTGAGCAGTTGCCTAAACCCAGTCCTGTCCAGGTCATCTCCTGCACAGTCATCAATACATGACTTTTGTATTTAAAAACCCCACATCCCCAGCACACTTCCTCAAAAAAACAAAAAGGAAAAAACGGTACTCCAAACTGCAAATGAAACATTCTGGGTGGAACAGCGGACTAATGTCTGTGCTACTGTTCATCAACTTATCAATTTACAATGCACTTGTTTAATATGCACAATATCTTAATTGATAAAGCGTTATAAGTTTTTTTAAACATTAAACATTCCTCAGAGAGACTCTCATTTCCCCCATTTTTGTCTGTTAAATATTATTACTCCTGCTCTGTCTCTTGTTTAGAGAATAACAAACACATCAAACACCTTGTTTATCTTTGTTCCTCAGGTACACATTAAGATAACACAAAGTATGTGTAAAACTCATATTATCAATCAACAAATGCATCTTTTTATAGATGCATGCATGCTTAAAGCCTATCCTTGACACAGCTAAATGTGAGATTGCTTATTTCTGTTGCATGCATATTTATGTCTGACTAGTTAATGAACTGGATTATAAAACATGTTAAAACATTTTGGGCAAGGGAGTAAAATAGATACAAAAAATTCTAAATGGGAAATTTTATACTCTGCAGAATAGTGACCTGAGCTGAAATAAGTATGTCAACAAAGGTCCCTCTTCATGTATCATATGCCACTTTAATTTCCTTCTCCTTTGCCACTGCAGCATGAAACAGCAATGAGAGGAAAAATGTCTAAAGCTCTTACTGTGAGAGCTACTGGTTTTCCTGAATTCTTGTGCAAAATTCTGGTTCTTACCAAGCAGCTTATGCAAGATGACCTCTGCCTCTGAGTACTTCCTATTGATTTCAACAATACTGGTCATGAGACTACCATTATGCTACCAGGAAGTATCAGGAAGCATGGTCTTTGGAAAAGTCAAGTTCAGGTTTCAGAAAGGTCTAGGGCTCAGTTTGTGCTGTGAGCAGCCTGAGGGCTCGATGCTTTCTTTCCTAGATCCTCACCCAGCTCCTGGAACAAGCAGGAGTTTGTTGGCACAGCACGTGGTGCCAGCACGGGCCAGCCAAAGGAGAGGCTATCAGAGTACTGAGAGCAGGCAGCTCCCTCAAAGCCCTGCAAAGACAGCACAAACATGATCTGAAGGAAACACGAGCGCTGTGCATGCTGTGTGTTTGAACAGCCATGGAGACATCCACCAAGGGTCTGTTAGAACCCTTCATTTCCATTAGGAAGATGTAAGAGACACAGTTGCTAGAGAGAAATGGTGACAGCGAGTCTTCTGTGCTTTTTTCCTGAAGTGTGGGGCAGAAATGTCTTCAATTGGATGGTGCCTCTTGGCACTAAACAAAGTAAAGTAACCCTGAATATTTAATATTTGTCAGCTAATGCATATCTAGATAAAACAATCTGATAATGAAAATTCATTTAGAATTTGGCTTCCATGCTAGGACTCAGAGAACGAGTTTCTGGATGCCTTCTGTTCTCTTTGAAAATCTTTGCCAATTTTGATGATGATATTTCCATAAAGTCATATTTGTTTTCTTTAAGAATATATTTCTTCCTCATTTTGCTTCAAATCTATAAGATATTATGGTTTCCTCTTTTGGAGATGGAGAAAAAGAGGTAATGTATTTCACATCAAACATTTCTTGTAGGTAATGCAAATGTGTTTGCCATAATATTAATGTTTAAGAGAAAAAATGAGACATAGCAAACGCCAAGAATCTAAACTTAAGGAATCCAGTCAGTGACCTTCAAGCCTTTAGCTAGACCCTGGGAGGGCTGTTTTCTGTTCTGTTCTGGGAGAGGAAGAATGCAGTTTTCCCCTAGAACAATAGACCGTTTGGTTGTACCCACTTCTAAAAACAAAAGATAAGAAAGAGCTTCTCAATAACAAAATGCTAGTTTGCTTCAGCTCCACTGTGCTTTTGGAGAGAACTAGCAGTTATTTGAGATAATCTTCTCAAGGAAAAGTCACTCGGGTTGATAGCAGAACTTCCTTTAAGAGAATTTGAGCCACAAGTCTTTTTTTCTGAACTATCTCCTATGACTGTGATGCAGTGTTTTGCTGAAGGCTTTGGTCAGTTAGGCTGTGATTTTCCCATTTCGGTTCTACATGCTTCAACTCTAGAGACTTCTAGGTCATTTCTAATCCAAGTTTTTTCACTTGCTAGAACTAATTATAAACTGCTGAGAAGTAAATGCCCTTAATTCAAGTAGGCACTTGAGCCAGTTAGGAAAATAGCAGTCCTAGGGAATGGGTACCATCCCACACCCTCATAGCCAACAATCTGCATTAAAAACCACTTTATATGTGCTATTTTAATCTGTGTTTCCCAGGTTTACCAGAGTAAATGACATGCTGTTGGGGGAACACAGGCTGAGATATGCTTAACTTTGCTCCCTCAGAAGGCAGCCAGGGAAGAAAAGTGGGAAAAGTCTTCCCAAATCCTTGAAAACCAGACTCCTCCACATCAGATAGCCTGGAGCAATTCAGTTTTTCAGGACAGCCTCTTGTGAAGAAATCTACTGTTACCTTCAGAGGGTTTACATGGGAGGTGACAAGTCTAAACAGGCAAGTTCTTTCTTTTAGCAGTAGTCATTGCCATGCAGGTGACAGGTGAAAAAAATTCCTGGAACTCCACAGTGTTCAAAGGCAGACTCCAAAGTTTATGAACCCGCAGTTGGGAAGCACACCAAAACCCCAAATCCTGCCCTGGGCAGGGCTCTGAGGGAGTAACGGAGCGGCCAGGGATGCTTTCGCTGAGGTAAAAACCCCGAGCGGGACCAGGCCCCCAGGGCCGCTCCTGCTCCGCTCGGAACAGAGGCGGCGCGGCCCGGCTGTGCCAGGGGCAGGCCTCGGCCTCGGCCTCGCTGCTGGGCCATGTGCTGCAGCAATGGCAGCACTGCTCTTGCTCCTGCCAAGCCTCTCCAAAGCCCAGCACGTTGTTCTGCCACGGGCTGTGCTGCAGCAATGGCAGCGTTCACTGCCCTGCTCTTCCCAGGCCTCTCTAAAGGCCAGCACTCTGAGCTTGTGCTGTTGCCCCGTACCCAGGGCAGAGGAAGAGGCTGCCTCTGTCCCTTCCCCTCTACTCTAGTTCTAAAATACACTGGACTCTGTTATGGCTAATGGTAGTTTATCTCCAACTTTTCAAACTATCTGCAACTGTGCAGAAAGTCATGATAAGATACTCCTCACTTTGGTTCAGGGGAAAAAAGCCCTTGGACACATCAGATTTACTTCAACCAAGTCATTTTCAAGGACCTCGGTATGTGCTGTACGAAGTCCTTCTCACACAGCCTTAACCTAGTAACTGCTCTTTCATTTCAGACATAATCTTGGTTAAAACCCACAAAACTCCCTGTTCTCACATGTGCCCACATCAAGGGACTCTACTTGTGCTGAGGATTATTAAGCCTGCTGGACAGGTTGCAACAGCTGGCTTCCCCACAAGGCCTTGCAATATCGTGACAGCAGTTTTCTGCACAATGTCTTCTGATGATTTCTAATGGTTTTCTGCATGAAGCAGCCTATTCCTCTGGACCCTTGTTTCCTAACAGCAGGAACTATTGTTTCTATTGAGCTAAATTCCACCCCCATTCCCTACCAGAATAGCCGCTGCAATGTTTTGACACCTGACGCTGAGGAAAAGCCTTCCCAGAGTCTCCTCGTAAGGAGCTCCTTGGGCTTCACCAGAATCAGGCTGTGCACTCTGGAGGGCGTTTCTCCTCTTCTCTGAGCTTTTTTCTTTGTTTATGTTTCTGTAGCCAGCCACATAGCTCTGTGTGTGCACAGATGACGGATGTGTTTACATTGCCTTATAGGTGGGATAGTTGTAAAATTACGCTTTGCCAGATAAATGTGAAATGCTGGAGTATGCTTTCAAATGCTTACTGCCAACAAGATATCTTTTAAAACTTGTTCCAATGTACAGGATACATTTTTCATGGCAAAGTCTTAAGTATATATTGTACTGTTCAAAGTAAGGTGCTTAAAATGAGAGAACGGGATATACTTGAAGTCAAATTCACTGTATCAGGAAAAGAGGGAAACTCTGTTCTTTCCCTTATTATTGATTTTGTTTCTCTATTTCAGAGCTTGAACCAGTTCAATTTCCCCAACTGACAGTTTTGCTCTGTTTGATGTAGATTCGCTAAGGCTTTTTGCACATAAGCTTTGAAGAAAGTCTTCTTAAATGGGTAAGTATTGTGCCTGTAGCATCACACTTGTCACCTTTTTATTCATCTTAAGAAGTGAGCAACAATTTTCAAAAGGTACACAAGATATTATAAGGACGGCTTTGACAAGACCAGAGGAAAAATGATACTGGTTTAATGCTCTGGGGGTTTTGGAAGACTGTGAAGTACAAACTGTCATGAAGCCAACTTAATATAACTGTTTTCTTTATACTCTAAGGATTCACAAGGGACTTCACCACTAGAATAAAGCAAATAAAATCTGTTGTGCTAGAAAAAGACTTTGTTGCTTACAATTTTAAAAATGACACAAAGTTTCCTTACAGGAAATGTTACATTCATACAAATTCCCATATTTATTTGTAGACAAAAATTACCATTCACATAGCAGAAAAACTAGATGAAAACAGAGACGGGATAGACTTAGAGCCACTGTGAGTTATTGGCAAACAGAACTACATGACAGCAATAAATACAAATACACACAAATTTTACTTAAATGTAGAGAAAACTTTTTTGTCTCATTTTAAAGTACCAGCCTAATTTTGTAACAGGAATTCTTGAAAACAAATTACTACAGGAATGCAAGTGAGGAGCTTGTAGAGTCTATTTCAGGTAAAGTTTAGCTTGTCTTCTGTTGTTACACTATTCGACCAAGATACACTGACTTGGGATATTTTTTCTTTAGATCAGGCCACTGAACAATGAAATAGTCTGAAAAGTAGTAAAGAATCTTTCCAGACAAGGATAAAGTTTCCACACGGCAGATGCTCTCTACATACACAATAACTGTTCTCTTTATTTGTAGAAGGCCAAGCAGAAAAGCAGATAAACAGACAGGAACACATGTTCCTGGTCCATTGCACAATATCTAAAAGAGATGAAACACAAAAGTAAGTACTGAGTTTTTTCATACAGTAAAGAATTAAGTGTACATGCATTTAACATGACATTTATACAAAAAATAAATTTCAAAAAATATTTTAAAAAACCCAGAAAAGGCAGGTGAATATGAAAAAATGGGAGGGGCAAACAAAACACATTATTTCAAAGTACCAAATAATACCATATTAAAAATACCATATTTCTTTACATGTTATGAAGGAGGAAAAGACTTCTGAGATGGCACAGTTATTTCTATGGAGGAAAAGTTTACAATTCCTTGACTCATGGGTATATAACCAAAACAACTTCCACTCTCAGTCACAGCTTTGTGTTGTATCATCCATTAAATCTGTGCACATAATAAAGCCAAAGAAATTTAATTAGTATTAGGATCCAGTTATAAACCTCTTGAACCTTGGCTTACGTCAGCAAAACACTTAAGAGTGCATCAAAAATGTGCTGATGAATTAGGACCTTCACAAGAATCTATTAGCTGATATGTGTGACTAGATTTGATTTTTTATTTTTAATAAACACTAGGAGACAGTTAAAAGCATACAGAAGGAAGCTGTTGTAGTAAAAACATGGCATGTCCTTTGAGAAGAGATCTCAAATTCACTTATAAATGTTAACAATAAAAGAAAGTACTCTTTTAATTTTAGACATTGTTCAACTGAAAAACAGATTGCTTAAAAGTAAAAGGTTTAAACCAGGGTATATTAGCCACTCTACTTGGTATCAAAATTGATTTCAAGCAAGAAATTTCTTACTAAACTTAAATACTACCATGTAATCAGCACTTTTCTGCACAGCTGGGGTTACATGGAAATAAAGAGTTCTTTTACAAAATCATGGCCCAGACCCCATAAACTCACTTTTTTTTTGTTCCAAGTTCACCAGCTTGTGAAAGATATTGTACTGGTGGGGGGAAAAATCTGAATTTCTGCTTCAGGGCTGGAACAATTAGTTTAGAACATTTCCTTTCCTGTTTCATGGCAAGATCCCACTGATAATCTGGTTAGAAGCACCTTGCCTCAGCTAAAAGCAGCAACAGATTTGGTGCTATGGAGTTCCAATTTCTCTCACATTCTCTGCCTTGACCATAGCCCCAGAAACCCAGCGTGGGGATGTGATGTTTGTAATGCTGTGTTCTCTGACCAGAATCAACAGACTGTTACACTGTTTCTAAAAATGTTCTGATTTTATTGTTCATCTTAATTGAACTATGTATTATTAATGCAAGACTTTGCTGATGTTTTCTCAGAGTCCCTTACAAGTAATGTGCTGTATGCAGTTTTAATATTGAAATTTTAGGGTATCAACATCCACAGCTACTGGAATTTGAAACTTGCAACGATGTACTTATTTTGTATTATTTTTATATCACATAGCTCAGAAGCTGAACACATCATCTTTACATCCTAGAATTTCGAAATTAGAGAAGAATACTCTGGTTTCAAACCTCCTGCTGAACCTCATTTCAAGCACATCCATGCTGGGGCCTTATACTCTACAATCTACTGAGAATGAAGATCTGTTTTTTGTACATTTGGCTTGGTGAGTAAGGACATAAACCAACCACACATGCTGCCTTTTTGCATTTCAAAGAAACTTTTCCATATCTGTAAACTAAATAATGCATTTTGCCATATTTCCTGGGAAGTTTGATTAATTTGCATGAATGTTGGCTGTGATGCTGGTACACGGCTACTGACATGTAACTTAAGGCATGTTTTGGTATCTCTATTTGTAACAACATTTGTTTCTGTAGTGTAAATGTAGGCATAGGAAACAATTTGTTCTCCTGTATCTGCAGGCAAAACCCACCAGCATCCCTGCAGAAGCTGGCCTGTTTCAGATAAGTGCATAAGAAGCACCTAAAGCCCCCAAAAATTATTTACTATTTATTATTTTTGTGAGTTGAATATACAGTCTAACTACTGATTTCCTATTCAAAATTCAGTTTTAAGGGAACAGACCAAAATGTGCACCACTGCTGAACAGAAACTCCACTTTCCCCTTCCTCAGTAGAGCTACCTGGAGTGCACATATTGTCTTACCTTCACTGCTCCCTGGCCCTTTCTCCATTCTATTGCCATCCTCTCCCCTGTCCTTTCCTCAGTGCCATCATTTTCCATCAATTTGTCTGTACTCTACCCAATCCTCTGAGATGTCTCCCACCCATCCTCTCTTTCCTAGTGTTTTTTGTGATCACTGGTGTTCATCTCTCTTTGCATCCCTGTTCTCAGGCACCCTTCCAGCTGTCTTCCTTTTTGAACGGCTCTGCACACTTTTAGCCTCTATCAACTATGAAAGCTCAAACATTGGTCCCTTACTTTCCACAGTCTCACACAAAATATACCAGTTGTGGATATGATTTAGGTCAGGTAGCCATCTTAACATTCTACTGAGCTCAGAAGTTGAGAACTGTAGAATGGATTTTAGAAAAAGCTGAATTTTTACAATCATTGTCTTTATAAAGCCATAGAATTCATCCTACTTCTCCCTCTTATTAAGCCTGGTCAGCAGCTCCAGTCCTTTTGGTATTTTGGTATTCTTGTGTCTAGATGCACATATAGAGGTAAATGCCACAATGAATTCCAAACTAACTGCACTCACAAAAGATCATGTAACAAAATAACACTAAATGGGTCTATTTATGAACCTCTCTGTAGCTCTGAAGGCAAGACTGAGCTCCTGTTATTACTTTGCTGAGGTACAAAACAGAAAGACAGCAATCAAAATTAAAATAATAATAATAAAATACCTCTCCTATATTCAGGTTTTGATATGATGCATTCAGTTCAAACTTTCAGTTTACACTTTCTGACTGTTTCTAATTTGTAAGCTGCCTCTCAGATGCCCTTTGATCCACGGAAAAGTACTTGCATGCAGGAAAAAGGATCACGAAAATGATTGACTTGGCATCTTTAAAAAAAACATGGTCTGATCATAACTCATGTCCTCTGCTCTTTCCCCTTCCACACATATGAGTTCAAACAGGATGAAGTAGATGTGACTCTGTAGGATTTCTGTATGCAAAATGCTCATATAATACTCTGGTTATAGATGGTCCTATCCCAAAATGCTTGGATTTAGGAACTGGCCATGAAAAAGACTGTTATAAACCTGCTGAAGCCCTGTCTGGTGGCTGTGATCTGTAAGTCAGAACTAAAAATTAACCTCCAGTTAACCTTCAGTACGTGTTTACAGGCATGTCCTGCTTAGAATCGGTGCAGTTGCAATTGCAGTGGCAATTCCTCTCCAAAAATCTGGTCTGACCAGTCCTATTTACTCTCTCTCTCACTACCAGCAGGAAGGGAGACCAGTGCTCCTTCTGCTTGGAGTCCAACATCATACACTCTTCAAGTGTCATCATACACTCTTCAAGTGTACGATGTACAGGGGAAACTTCTGAGAAAACAAATATGTACATTACAAAGATGAGGAACCATTGCAGAACGTGTAAGGTAGAAATGCTGCTGTTCAGCTCCTGCCTGTACATAAACTGGAAAGGATGATGGAAAGGAACTGAATCACCTACAGCCTTCCTCAAAGATGAGCAGTCCTACTAGTGAATTTCAAAGCACTATTCAAAAATAAATTTTGGAAAATGACTGATGTTTTACATCTTGAAAAGACCAAGGCTTTTGCTTTCCTCACCAGCAGAATACCAGTATCTCCCAGTGAAGCCCATGGCAACCACCAGTATGCTCTGGGGAAGAGGCAGGCATCTATTGGACAAGAAGGGACCAGGCCCTCTACAAAGTCAAGCAGATATTGAGGGTGTATCCCTCAAACTTCTATTTACAAACAGCATTTGTAAATGCTGTTTCCCTCAGAAACCCATTTCCCTTTATCTGTTTCTCTCAGAATCTATTTACTTTAGATACAAGGCTGCCTGCAGAATATTTGTGTTACATGAGATATGCTTCTGAAAATCTGTAAGTTCAGCCTTCCTTAATGAGGCAGCAGAAAGGGGGGAAAGGGGGCCAAAGGCAATTTTTGTGTCACTTTTGTGACCTCTTGAGCTGAAATTGTCCAAGAACTTTCCTGGTCACTGGTGGTTCCTACTTTGTTGCCAATAAGCTGTAAGGGATTGTTCCAGAAGCCAGTGCTACAGGTCTTTCTACACCATTCATATGCACCTCTAATGCAAGGAAATGTCCAGCTCAGCTCACTGTTAAATTGGCTCACTGGCTGCCTGGGCTCACAGCTAGGTCTATAAACTAAGTCCTACATACTAAAATTCTCTGCCAATTCAATGTAACCAAATTCTAAACAGTAAAATAAACAAATCAAGCTGTATATTAATGGAGGTTTAAAAGTAAAAGATCAGAATACAACATCTACCTTCAGCAACTCTATAAATCTAATTTCCTATCAACCACTTTTATATAAAAATGGAATAGCTATTGCCATTGTTTTTTAGATATTTTCCACAGCTGTTGAAAGAAAATAAGCTAAGCCAGCAGTCTGGGAACACTGGCACATGGCACCACTGCTGATAAAAGCTACTTTAGAGTTGGTGAATGCAGCACTGTAGCAGAGTGACCTTTACCAGGGAAAGCACTGAAAGCAGAGCTTGCTGCTTCACTAGGATTAAATGTCACTGGTCAAACAAAAATGAGTAAAGCAGTAAACTTGCAGTTTTTCTCATAAGTACATAAACATACAATTGCTGCATCTCTTTTAAAGAACAAGTGTGTAAGTACTGCTTATGTTCCCAAAGTACAACAATCAAAAGGAAGATGATGAGAGTCCCCCTCAATTTAGTAGAAAGTGGAAAACTAATTTGCAATTTGCTTTGCATAGGAAACTGGCAACACCTGCTGTTCTCCTTAATGACCGCTGCAGAGATTGGCCTTTTGTCACCTGGTCAAGAGCAGAAACACTGCCCTGCTTGCTGGGGAGGATGGTGGTGTGGGAATGCTGTTTGCTGCTGGGGGCTGTGCATGTGTGAGCTGAAGGTTGTGCTGCTTACCA